AATTGAAATGATAAAAAAAAAAAGAAATAGAATGGAAGAAAAAACAATAAATTTTGTCTACCGCTAATCGTATTTTTGAACATTATTATTATTATCAACGATCTTAAAATCATAAAATCATAATCACGTTTGGATGTAACGAATTTTTCTATGATAATGAAAGTCGCTGTTTATAAAATCGGCGGACGTGGCGAAAATCCATTTTTCGCGTCGAAAGAGATATATAAGGAATAATATAATAATATAATATAATATATTATATTATTTTAATGAAAATTATTTTAATTAAATATATTATATTATATTATCATATCGATAAAATTGTTTAACTCTTGATGGATTTTTCATCGCGTTCCGCGCTTGCAGATCTTCAATTAATTAAATTGAGCCAAGTTATGCGTAAACCTAACAACAACCCTTTGATCATCTGAAATTGAATAAATTTAATTTTGAAGATTTTTAATTAAAACAATATGAGAGTTAGCTTCACTTTTATATTATACGATATTTAATTAAATTTTATTTCTTCTTCTTCTTCTTCTTCTTCTTCTTGAAAAATATTTTGTCAGATGTTTAAGTTCGACAATGATTAATATAATTAATTATTGTTGAAAATTTGTCTATAGAATATTTTCAACCTAAAACGAAATAACTGTTATTAATAATCCTACTACAATGTAAGATTTGTTCTTATGGTTGATAATTTTGTGACGAAGAAAAAAGAAATAAAGATTACAGATTCGTATGATCTACAATATGTTTAATTAATTTAAAAATCATTTTAAAGGGTTGACAAATTGTTTGCATAACTTGACCCAAATTTGTAAATTCTCATGGTCGCAATAATAATTGTATCGCGTTACACGCACACATCGTGAGAAAAAAAAAAAGGGAAAAATAGATAACTGCCTGAATCGAATAAGATGAAGATGAGAATGAAAAATAATGAGAACGATGACGATTGAAAAAAAAAAAAAAATAATAAAATTGAAGAATAATTCACGTTAGTTTGTTGGATAAAATAAGGAGAGAATAACGTCCTATATTTGTTGTACGTCACGTCAATTTTGATGTCAATGTCGTCCTTCGTCGCTCATATACATACGTATATAAAAAGCGTATAATATTTTATACTGACAAAATTGGTAATTAATAAGATTTTAAATATGGTTTAATTAAAATAATGCATACATACACACACATACATATATATTATGTAATATAAATGAATACATAGCTGCGCGCAAAAAAAAAAGGAAATCAAGATAAGAAGAAATAAAAAAGCAAAAAAAAAAGAAAAGTGAAGAAAGAGTACAAGGGGCGACATCTGTCGATCATTTCGCGAATCTTTGGAGAACCATATTTAAATTTGAACGAAAAATAATTTAGAAAATAATATCATTCGCATTGATATTTTGTTTTCTTTTTTTTTGGTTTAAATTAATCAATATCACGCATTCGAATATTCGCGAATAGATCGCAAGCAATAGAAGTGGCTAAAGAAAAATATGTTATAACGTAAAAAATACTTTTCTTTTCTCTTAACATTAAGATCAATGCTAGAAAGCTGATACGATATAACGATGCGAAAAAAATAAGGATAGAAAGACATATCCATTCATTACTTACATTAACAATTAGGTTTCGAATACTTTTTCCTTTCCTTCCTGTCTTCCTCTTCCTTCTCCTCTTTCCTCGACTATTAAATCCTTGTAAATGAAAGCGCCAGAAATTGTCGCAGAAAGTCTTTTCTACCATTTTGAAAACACGCGTCTTTCACTTTGTCCATTATTTCAATGCACATATTATTAATTAAACACGGATAATATACATATATATATATACATCAGAGAAAATCCTATGTATATATATATATTAATAAATTGTATACACGAGAGATTACATAAATAATAATCTTACGTTTTGTAGTTACGAACACGATAAAATGAAATTTGTTGAGAAAGAGACAAAACACTATTGTCGTTTTTACAATCGATCATTATTATAATTAGAAGTAAAGACAACAAAAATAAGATATAAAAGAATCGTTGCAGTCAGAATGAAAAAAAAAACATCACTAGCAAAGTATGAAAGATATTAATATACGCAGAGTTGAGAAACGTTTTAGATAACCGATAACGACAATCTGTAATCTATGTACCTTTTAAGTATCTTCAAAATCACTATTTTATTTAAAAGAAAAAAAAGACAAAAGAAAAAAAAAAGATAAACCAAAATCGAAAGCTTTCCTTCGAAATCCGACTAAAACGGAAATTTAAATTCCACGATTGCAAATTTAAAATAAGAAAAACAATGAACAAAAGCGCGCGAAAAAAAGCGACGATCGTGACGATAGGATTTTAAAAAAATGAGCGCGAAATTTCAAATTGGTACCAATGATGATGGTACATTTAAAAAAGCGCACGCATGTTATATCAATTCAGCTTCATGTCCTGACCACAAGGATGAAATAATCGTGTACAAAGATAATTAATCTTTTACTTAGTTAAACGGAAACAAAGTGAAAAAATTACTCGTTAATAATGCAATTGAAAATTTGTAAACAAACAAACAAAAAATGAAAGAAATGCAATATTCTTAAAATCAGTTCTGACTTTATCTAATCGAGATGCTGGTCGTCTCTATCTATGTTCTTTCAAACAACACACACAAGGCGCTAAATGAAATAGAGAAAAAAAAAACTTAGTTTCGCAAGAATCTAATCCCTTTTAAAATATGGTACAATAATATTATAATTATATTAAACATTCTATCATTTTTTGAATATATTAAACATTTTTTTCATACTCCACTTTGTGCCTAATTCACTTTATTATACATACGCATTATCAAAATGTGTCCTGGCTAATATAACGTTCTATTTACATACATACATACATAAATATATGTATAAATAATCTACAGGACTGGCCTGTGATATCCTGAAATACATTTAAGCGTATCCCAAAGATTATTCTGGATTATCCTAAATTAATGCGTCATAATAAAAAAGAAATAAAAAGGATAAATAGTACTTAACAACGATAAATGGAAGCTTGTTATTAGGCATATATATTTTCATTTTTTGGCAAGATTTAAATTATTTTCGAATGGACAGATTAATTATCCACGAAAGAATAAGAAGATGTCCAATATTTCTTTGAAAATTATTCGAAGAGCTAAATATATCATTTGCGTTAGATGTAATCTTGTACGATCATATGTATCATATTATAATTGTGAATGCGATTAAGCGAAATTACGGTTGAAAGTTGAGAAAGATTTGTCATTTATGTCAGATAAAAATTTCGTAATAAATCATATATGTTCACTATACCTTTTTCTATTTATCATTTTTTATATCAGTACGAGTCATATATTTCTATTACCGTTAATTGGACCTTATTAATCATGTCAATTACAATAAAACATCAGAGTTTTTATCGTATTAAAAATATTCTTTTAAAAATTATAATTATTCATAATGTAAGAAGAAAATAATCTACATATAATATTTACATTGTAGTTAAACAACTTATGTATTGCATAAAATTCAATACTTATAAAGGTACAGCTAATGTTTTCATACTGGCTACTAATTCATCGTATAATTCCTTATATTCTGGATGTTCTTTAATAAGTACCATGAGGCTACCACGCTTTACACCCATAGCGATACCAATATCCTGTCTCGAAGGAGTATAACAGTATGGAATATCTTTATCCTCGCACACGACTGGTAAATGGCACATTATTTCTATTGGAAATACGTCTCCAGCAAAAATAACTATTCTACAAAATTAAAACAAAAATATTATGCAATTATAGTAATTCATAATATAAAGCTTACTGTTTTGTTTACCCTTTTTCTCCTTTACGTATGTGTTTCTGCACATCTTTTAATCCATTACGCAGATATGTTTTATGTTTGGATGCTATAATAAAATATATCACAAATAAAAATTGTATTATTGAAATAGTTAATGATGATAGAAAGTAACATTGAAATTACCTTTTTTTATACATTTGTAGATTTTTTTAGCTAGTTTTTTAGATGCCATTGGTTTAGCAATGGTATTAACGTATTTCAACTTATCTTCGTAAGTTAATTCTCCTCCTTCTTGTAAATTTTCGTCTACTTCCATTTTAACAATTGTTTCATTCATATTTTCACAAAAATTAGTTGTTTCTACAATAATAATTTATATCTTTCTATAAACACGTGTTTATATTAACATGTGCGTTTATACTAGTGTAGAAAATGAAAACTAACGCATAAATTGACTGAAGAGACATCTGTGATTAAACACACTCTATGTGTGGCGGTAAATACAAAAATATTTATTTCAAAATTAAAAGTAAAATCTTTTCTCGTAAAAAATTTAATCATCTTAAATTATATAAAGTAAAGATTCTAAACAATTTAAGAATTCCTTATTGATTTCACAAAATGTAAGAGTGATTTAAGATTTGTTATAATAAAATATAAATACGTTAATTAATTCTTAAAAATACTCCTTAGGCTTCATTATTTTTACCTCTTTTAGAAGTAAAATTATAAGATATATAAGACCATAGAATGGATTTCATTAATCATATTAATTCGTTAAGAATTTAATTAATCCATTAATCGGTGAGAACACAAACAGAAATGAAACGAAAAAAGTAAAAATATTCTAGAAATTAACAATATAACGTATTTCTATTTCTTGGTACTTACAGATAAAAACTGACACCTAATATTTATGTATGTATGCATTGTCAGCTTTATATAAATATCTTGCTAAAGTATTGTTATCACGTAAGAGGTAACTAATGACTAATAACGATTAATTAGTATTGCGTTATTTATGTTGATTACGGAAAAAATAAATATAATAAATTAGTAGAGATAACAGAAATTGGCGACTATATATTGTCATGCACGAATGGTATTCCGACCAGTTTGTTTTGAATTTAAAATAATTCTATATTATCATGTCTCGTGTCACGACAATTCTTTTTGTCCTCGCAATTTGCGTAGCAAGTAAGTTTTAAAAAACATAGATTAATGATATTTATATCAATTATTAGACTAATTTTTATAATAATACAGTTGTCATCTGCTCACCTTATTGCGGACCAAATCAGATTAGTGTCAGATGTAAAAACACCTGTCCAGTAACTTGCAAAACTTATCCCAATCGTACAAAAATCTGTCCTCATGTAAGTAAATTTTGGTTTTAGTTCAATTATAAATGTTTTTCATGCGAATTTAATTAGTTTTTGTCATTTAATTTATTCGATTATTTTTAATTGTAGATTTGCGTAGCAGGATGTGATTGCATTGAAGGATATGTATTAGACACTGATAATAATATGTGCGTCTCACCCGATGATTGTTAATTTTTGAGGATAATAATAAATGTTCATGAAATATTTCGTATAAACGTTTAATTAGGCTGATATGATTAGCCTGAAATAATATAGATTTACGTTTAAAATAAAAAAAAAAACAATGTCAATATTTTTATTCTAACATGGACCGTTCTTGTGACATTTTGGGTTGTTCAAATTTCACTTTCGAAGTAAATAATCCACATAATCAATAATAAATTCACATTCCACTATATTGTCTACTATAATATTCTTTATTAATTAGACGTTGATCACAACGTTGATATATATATGTATATATACATATGTATATTTAATATCTGCTTCTTTTTCGAAATACAAAAAATAAATATAATACGTTTAAGAATTTAACTTGTACCATCGGAGTTCAAATTAATTGGATTCCTTTAAGAGAATCGAGTTAATTCGACTCAATTATTCTGTTCGATTTATATTTTTTACTTTTTTACTTTTTCCTTCTTCTTCTAATTTCTTAAGCGTGAGATCTTTAGTTTTTTAAATCTATATTAATATAGCGTATAAGAATTATTCATCCAATTATTGACAAGTTTCAAAAGTATCCTTTACAATGCTCTGTTCTCTTTACCCTATATATTTATTTTATTTATTTATTTATTATTCTTCTTTTTTTCATCGAATTACAAAAAATTATTTACACCCTTTTAATTTACCTCTTTAAATAGAAACATAAATTATAATTCTATATTTGTAGATAATATGAAAACTTTCTATCGAATTATATCTTTTTATTGAGCAATGCAAAGGCGATTTTTAAAAATACTGATTAATCTTTTATCTAAATATATACGAGTATAACATCAAGTCTTATCATTTATAAATGTATATTTTTTTTCTTTTTACTTTTTTTATTTTTTATTTTTTATTAAATTTTGGAAGTAGCGAGTAGGTCGTTTAATTCTATGATCAAGCTTAGAAAATGGCTATTAATAATTCTGAACGGCTGAAAATTCATACGTTCACCGATATCGATAGTTATTAAATTCTAATCGATAAATTCTAATCTACAGTAAATTATGATCTATACAGCAAACGGAGAACATTATCAATTACCATCATTATCATTATCATTATCATTATCATTATCATTATCATTATCATTAACACTATCGTTATCATTCCTATCATCATTATTATATTAATGTAGAACTTACGGCGCAACTTTTTTATATAACACAAATTGTTACTACGAAACTACAGTATTTTAAAAAATATTTCTATGTTAAAAAAAAAAAGAANTATATATAATAAACTAGAATTCTACAATCGAACGACCTCTCCACTGACATCCTAGAAAAAGACTTGTTTAAACATTATATCCTAGTAAATATCACAACCTGAAACTACAACTATTGTCATTATTCACAATGAAAAATGATAGATATATTAGTATTAGTGAACTAATAGATCATTTAATAGAAAAAAGAGATTCGTCGATGAAATGTAAAAAGAAATATAAAACAAATGAAAATAAAATGAGACATAGATAACAAAAAATATTTAAGAATCATCGCTATCACTTTCTGGACGTTCACGTGGTTCCTCTTCTACAGGAGGATTATCAACGTTTCTTTCAGGATTGAACCATCTGTTAACGAACCACCAATGAACCGACAATCTACTGTGATTGCATTCGGCTCTTTCACATCTGCCAAGAAATTGACAAATCCTAGCTAGGTTTTGATTTCTTATGCAAGAATCATCACACGTATGTTGGCGTTCAGTTGAACGATTAACGGGACAAACAGAAGCTGATGAAGTAGAAGGATTGTAAGAGGTGGAGGCAAATATCGATCTGATATTCGCTGAAGTTCCAGCTTCTGTAGATCCTCCCGATGATGTTGAAGCAGCGTTACCGTCAGCAGAATTACCATTGGGTGCTGATCCAGAACACGATCGATCAATTCTACCAATGTGAATTGTCGCATAAAGTGGATTATTTACGGACGAACCAATTCTATTGATCCAATCGACGTATCTTCCAACTTGCATCGATGAACTCGAGCTAGGCATTGTCTTGTTTCGGCAAACACAACCGGCAGGATTTCTGTGATGAGAATCTTTACACCTGGAAGATGATTCAGTGGAACGGTTGCTACCACTAACAGATAGTTTCGCGTAATCACCACGACAAAAAGGACATCTGCAGTTTCGAGATAACTGATATATGTATTGTCTTGCAGAATTGGCAGAATCTTGATAACGAAGTTTATTATGTAAACTCTGACAGTGATGGCAGACATATCTCGAATCCATGTGTCTACAGTAAGGACAAGAACAGTGATAACCCAATGGATAAGCTGATCGTCTGCTAGATGCATATGCGAGATTTTCGCTAGAAAAACAATTTCTACCGAGTCTTCCCAAGCGACTTTGACAAAATTGATTACCTATCCTAGAGGAATCTAAGTAAACGTGTCGAGGTTGATCGTATTGATTGAAATTTCTCGACTCGATCTCGTTTAAGAAATTACCACCAGAGATCAGATTCAACATTTGATATTTAAAACGAGAATAAGCTCGATTACGACAGGAAGATCGATCGTCGATTCTCTCGTAGATATGATCGTCCGTAGGATTTGGATTATTTGGATTATTAACAAGATCGTTACGGCCAACTTCAATGTTATTTTCACCTTCGTTTTCTTCCTCGTCGTCGTCGTTGTCCAATCTTTCATAAATATTCTCTTCCGGTTCTTGATGTTGCCGTGCTCTGTTATAATTCCTAACAAGATCAACAGGATTTTGATAATTGGGATTAAGATTAGGATGTACTTGAGCCACACCAGCAGCTGCCCGATTTTGAAAATTACGACCAACGCGAGCAGCATTCTGATAAGCCTCATCTCTTTCTTGATTTCTATTCAAGTTCATAACTACTACAGCCAATTCACCGTTCTCGTATCTTTGACAAACGCAACGAGCTCCTTGACAAGCGTGACTACCAGCACGATATTGCTGAGGAAGATTCTGATCTGCATTTTGCACACCGCTGGGCTCGGCTTCTCGTGATGGTTCAGACACGTCGGCAATCGAGTCTGCATTTTGTTCTGTCACGTGCCCAGCGGATTGCAGACCTCACATTGTCGTAGCAGGTGCCATTGGTTTATCAATTATTGCAACACCGGCGTAACTACGACCAATTCCCATACATGTTGGTAAAGTTGTCCAACTATCAGTTCTTGGTGAATAAACTTCAACAGATGCTAAACTCGATAAACCATCGTCACCACCAACTACGTACAATAGGCCATTCAAAGCTACCACACCTTGAATAAATTATCCAAGTTAATATTTATTTTATCATTCCGATAGAGAATTTATTTATGATATTACTCACCAGCGTTTCGTCTACAATGTGCCATGTCGCTTATTGGAGACCACTGATTGGTTTCTGGATTAAAAGCTTCTACGCTTTTTCTTATTAGTGGACCATCGTGTCCACCAACTGCATATAAAATTCCTTCCAACACACCTACACCGGCTCCACTACGTCGAGCAGACATTTCAGGTACTGGTTTCCATTGATCTTTATCTGGATTATAACACTCTACGCTAGATAAACATTGCCGTGATGCTCCATCATATCCACCAACCTGGCATCATTTGTATATATCATGTAATCGAAAAGTATTCTATCTCATAAATTTTTACACATGAATAAAAATTAATAACTTACAGCATAAAGAAGACCTTTCACAACACCAACACCAACACTACTTCTACGTGTTGACATTGGTGCTATTATTCTCCATTCGTGACTATTTGGATCGTATACTTCGGCAGAATTTAATCCGGTAGAACCATCAAAACCACCAACCTATAAATATTAAGAAATTCTCTTTTCCATTTGTATTTGTAAATTTTTATTTAAAAAAAGAAAACTTACAGCATAAATGCAATTACCAAGGACTGCAACACCAAGAGTTGATCTTCTCGCAGACATTTCTGGACAAGGTGACCACTGATCAGTAGCTGCATCATAAATATCTACAGTACGTACTCTTAAAGAACCATTAAAACCTCCTACAGCATAAACTCGATCACCGAGCACAGATAATCCTATTACAAATAAATAGAATATATTTTGAATCAAATTAAATATAATTGATTTTTTATTATTATGATGATAATTACCAGCTCTGCAACGTCTTGTTGGTAATTCAGACACCTGGTACCATCTTTCTTCTTTAAAATCATAACATTCGACACTTCTAATAGCTTTGGGAGCTTGACCACCAACTACCAGTAATACCTTTGGTAAGCCACGTGGTTGTCTTGGTTTTGTACGTGGTGTTTTAAATAATGATTTTTGTTCACCCTTCAATAAATGATATTTCAAAGCTTCTATTAGAAAATCTTTACCTAAAAAAGTATATTATTTAATAAAATGTTTTAGTGTGTATAATATAAAGGATAATTTTATGTTGTTGACTTACATTGTAAATTAGCTTTAAGGAGGGGTTCTTCTTCAACACGTTGTACAAGATACTCTTGAGAAAGTAATGGTAAACGAACATGTTCCATTAACTGAGCTAAATGTGCTTGTCGTGTATCCAAGTCATTATGGACCCACGAAATTACACATTCAAAGACCTTTTCTTCGGATGGAACCATTAAACGATCACTGCAGATTAATTTTGCAACTTGTTGCGGAGACAAGGTTAAAAATTCATCTCCATCGACGACCTCTCTGTTAAAAATATTTCAATTATTGAAACACAATGAAAATATTATTAATATTTAATATAAGTAATTATATTGAAATGTACACAATTGTTAAAGATATTTATTCTTACGAGAAATGTTGTTCTATGTAACTATCAGCGTGTGCCAATAATTCTAAACATCCGTGAAGATCTGCGAATGCACGAATTCCAAGACAATTGGATGGATGTAATTGTGCTTGTAAAAAGTCACAACAAGCATCCCGTACATCAGTTAATTGTAAAAGATTAGCTGCTGGAAGTAATACTTGTACAATATCCTCCGTGACATGAACTTCAGCAGAATATACATAGTCGACTAATAATTCTAACGCAGAGTAATCAACTCCTTGCAATGTAATTCTTTCCTGATCTCGTTCTTCAAAACTCGTAAACATAGCATAGAAGTAAGGACTACAAGCAGCAAGGACCATTTTGTGCGCTGGAACTTCCATTCCTCCATCCGCTACCAAGATTACATCACATAATAGATTTTTTCTAAAAATAAAAATTGTATTTAACATTTCAAGTAGTATATATAAAATTAAATCTTTATTAGATAGTCAAGTTATAATATTTACTTGCGCATTTCATTGATTACTTCAAATGCACGGTTGGTATGGTGATGATTTCTGTACGGTGGTTTGTCCCTACAGCCTTCTCGAGGGACATGTTTTTGAGAACTCTCATCCAAAGAATTTTGACTAGCATATCGTAATAACAGACAGCTGAAAGATAAACTAATAAGTGTGTTTATCTGAAATAAAAGAAATTATTACTTAAACTATTAATTATTACCTGCCCTTATTTTCAAAACCATCGTTAGAACTATTGCCAGCATTTTGTGCTTGATTTTGGCCTGCAGATTCCATATCAAAAATAATTTTAAATAAACCTAATTGTTCTTAACTAAATATTAATTTAAACCGAAGAGATAACCATCGAGGTGATGATCGTCTTTGTAATACGATTTATCATTTAATCTGTCAATCGTTACCACATTTTATTGCCCTTTGAACAATATAGAAAAAAAAAACTCAATGATATCACTTAGTTCATAATAAAAATTCGGTTTGATTAATGTCACTTAGGAACAACGTTAAACAATATTAATTTTCACACGTATAAATATAAAATAAATAATATTTAGCATTGTTCAAATAATTATAATATCGACTAAACAACTTATTGTTTTAATTAAACTTGATTCCAATTCATCGTTGTCATTATCAAAACATTGTAAATGCTATACACCACTATACAACAATGAACTTCCATTTTGTGTGTTGCTATGTGTATAACGAACACTCCATATCTAAAGTTTGTGAGAAAACAAAACGAGAAATTTGTTTGGTAATAATTATTTCATAGAGGATACCTTTCTTACCTACGTAAGATAATATATTTTTTGTTGTTGTTGCGGTTCTATGCCAACTTTTTTGTGCTGAAATTTCAAATTGATATAATCCGTCGATAATGTCGCATCGAAATCGTTTATTTCGACGATAGGCAACTGTGTATCGATCGATAAGATCAAATATACTACGGATTCCTAATCTCAACGCAAAATAACAAATATAATATTAAAAAAAAAAAAAAAAAACGAATATATATGAAATATATATTCTCTATAGAAAAAAAACAAAAATAATTAATACTTCCTTTAACGAAGAAAAGAAAATAGAAGAATATCAGTAACATAATATTAAGAGTACAACATAAAAAATCAAGAAAAAATAAAAATAAAATTATATATTGTTGAATTTAAAAAGAATTATCTATACGAGTAATAGACAATAAAGAAAATTTGTCAATTAATAATAACAATAACAATAATAATAATAATATATGTCAAAATAGATTTAACGAGAAGATATTGCGCAGGATGGAATAAAAGATGATAGGAGTAGGGAATTTGGTTTTTAATCCATAGGTGTGGATAGGGGTGGTGATGGTGATGTTGGTGGTGGCGGTGTTAGTGGTGGTGGTTATGATAGTAGTAGTAGTAATAGTAATAGTAGTAGTATGAGTTTGACGAGTTCTGCGCGTTAAAGCGTCTAGGGTGCGGCGCTCCCGTCGATGGTTCCTCCTACATCGTCGTCGTCGTTGTTGTCGTTGTCGTCGTCGTCGTCGTCGTTGAACATTCATCCCTTCCTCGGCGTGAGATGCCCCTTCCTGTCGACGCGTCGAGTTGCGTCGGTGTCGGCGGGGTGGCGGCAGCCAGGCGCACGAGGAGGAGGCTCGAAACTGTTCGTTTCCTCTAGTGGCTCTCGTGTGCTCGCGTGACACGTGCGTGAAGGAAAAGACAAGCCAGGTTTTGTGTTTGGTGGTGAAAAATTCGACGACTCACGTTAACACACCCCCGCTTACGCCGTTGACCCCCCCTCACCACCGCCCCCCCCACCGCATTATCGTGTATTTCGTTTTTTTTTTCTTTTGCCTTTCGTCGACGAACGTGCGTTAACACTACCACCCCCCACTGTACTTTCTGTTTTTTCTTTTTATTTTTCTTTTTCTTTTTCTTCTTCTTCTTCTATTTTGCGTCGAGAAAGATCAGAAACAAAAAGGACAGACGCGCACGCACGCACGCACGAAAGGCAAAAAAATAGAAAATGAGGAAAAATTAAAGGACAACGTCGATCGATCGATCCTGCCTTCTTCTTCTACCGAAGAGATTCGTCTTATTACGTGTGGGAGACACCATATATACATATATATATATATGTATGTATATGTATATATATATATATATATATATATATATATATATATATAT